TGACGCGTGAGCGGACCATCAGGAATGCACTCTCTGGGGCGCTGGATCATGAGGAGCTTCGGTTTGTCTTTGGGGATGTTGCTGGTTTACCTCGTCGTGCTTTCGTGGGTCTCTCTACTATGGCTATGGGTGATTGTTCGGCATGCGAGTATGCACAGTGCTCTCACCTATCTGCTCTTCGAGGCTACAACGTCTTCTCCGAGGGCCAGCTCAATACCTTGACTCGCCCGATACCCAGAGGCTGCCTTCAGATCGGGGTGATCATTGACGATCTCATCGCCCTGGAGAGGATTGCAGCTGGCTGGCTTGATGAACCCGAGCCGCGGCCGCAGACTCGAGCTGATGTGGCTATGAGTCGGGCCGACGCTGCCTACGAAGGAGCCTCGCTGCTCACGAACCCGACGAAGGCGTTCCAGAATCAAGCGAAGGCGAAATTCTGGGGCATTGAGATGGACGGGATTCGTGGTATTGTCAGGCCGGCTTCCTCACGGCTGTGGCCGCTCATTGCTGTCACGATGCGGGTGATCGCCCTGGGCTTGAGCACCGTTGGTCTTTTGAAAGCTTTGTGCGGGTCGTGGACGTCCGTTTGCCTCCTGCGCAGGCGCCTGCTCTCCGTGATGGACTTGATTTTCGCAGCGAGCGCAGGTGATGATCCTGAGCTTGTGGTCCGGCTGTCACCCGACCTTAAAAGTGAGCTTTGGTGCCTTATCTGCCTAGGTCCCTTCTCCGCTGTGGATTTGAGGGCTGAACCAACGGATTTTGTGACGGCTACGGATGCTTCGAGTTGGGGAGGCGCGGCAGTCAGGGCTCCTCTCGACAAGTCGTTGATGTTGGAGTTTGCTCGCCACAGCCTCGCAAAGGGCACCTGGACTCGATTGCTGCCCCCGGGCAAAGCCTGGTTGAGGGAGAGAGCGGAGCTGGACCCGAGCGAGGAGTTGCCGTGCGAAGAATCCTTTGAGCCAAATGCTTTGGCGAGCTTGCTCGCTTCGGGTCTCCAGTACCAGGAGAGATGGCGGAAGCAGTTCAAAGAGGCCGAGCACATCAATTGCAAAGAGTTGCGGGCTTACCTGTTGGAAGAAGGCCGCATCGCTAGGAGCGGCGGCCCTTTTAGAACTCTGTCCGGTTTGGACTCTCAGGTGGCGCTCGGCTCGCTCGTCAAGGGCAGGAGCGCTTCTGAAGGACTAAACCGTTTGCTCCGCGGCTCTTTGGGGCCTTATTTGGGAGGCGGTATGTACCCTCACTACATGTACTACGAGACCGCTCGGAACCCTTCGGATGGACCTACAAGGGGAAAGCGGCCACCGGCACCGACGATAGATCTCCCATCATGGTGGCCCGCAGCACTTGCCGGCGATTTCTCCGACTTTGACAGATGGTTGGCTGCCCAGCCCGGGTTTGAACCAGGCCCGGATTTCTCGCACGTTTCGTGCCCGGCGCCTGACCCCGAGCTGCCGGAACCGAATTGTGGCAGTCTGCATGGGGATCCGGCCACGGCCGGCACAGGCACATCACGGCAGCTCTTCCAAGTCGATTGCAGTTCCGGTGGCTCCGCGAGAAGGAATCGTAAAGCTTGCGGCCGCGCCGTGGAGGTTACGTGCGGCCGGCCTCCGCCTGGACTTGAAGAGGGTGCAGCGGGCGGCTTCCCGAGCCGGCAATTTATCGTGCCCAAGGCGGGCACTGATTATTCCGCTCCGGGCTGCTTGGACTTGTTCAGTGGATCGGGAGGCCTTGCTCGGGCCCTTATTCGTTTCGGGGCGCCTTGGGTTCTTACTTTTGACATAGTCAACGGTTTGGAACAAGATTTGCTTGACCCCGCGGTGCAGCGACGAGTGTTGGATGCCATTCGAGATGGACTGTTCAAGTTTGTTGCGATGGCGCCGGCGGTGGGGTCACTTTCGGCTTCGATTACGCCGAGAGTCAGAAGCCACAGACATCCGGGCGGCTTCCCCTGGCTGCGCAACGAGAGCGCACGGAAAGTTGACGCTGCTAACCGGGCTGCCTCCTTTTGTCTTGAAGTGATCAGCGCATGCGAAAGCCGTGGGATTGAATGGAGCCTGGAGCAGCCAGACTCGTCCTTCATGTGGAGGCTTACAGGGTTTGAGGAGTTTGTGGATCCGAAGTCTCTCCGCGTATGGCGAGGCGACATGTGCACTTTCGGGACACCGTGGCGGAAAAGGACCAGGTTAGCTACAACACTTGAGTTGAAGGGCGGCCGCAGGTTCTGCTTTTGCAAGCTTCCACACGTGGTGCTGCGTGGCCGAGTTCCCGGACGTCCTGAGATTTCGAGAAGCAGCTGTGCCAAGCCTTATCCCAACGGGTTCGCGCGGGGCATTGCCGCTGCGGCCTGTCGTGCCGGAGGCTGGTGTGATGCCTCAGGCAAGCTGAAGCTGTCAGATTGCGCAAGGTGCGGGTCGATGCGGATTGGTGAGGCGAAGAACCCTGGGCCTCGGCGAAGGCCGTTACAGCGAGAAGGAGATCTGGAATCAAGGCCGCTTCAGTCAGCGGTCACTTTGCACTATGAGGACCGGCTCTGGGCTGCTTTCACTTCCTGGTGCAGCTCGTGTCTGTCTGATCCTCGTCTCCTCTTCTCTCTTGTCCCTGTCTTCTGCGCCATGGCCCTCCGCGCTTACGCCAACGTGTGCTACTCGCAAGGGAAGACCCTCAGTTCTGTACGCCACACCATAGTTGCGGCACAAAGGCGAGTCCTTGGCGTGAAGCCCTATCTGTCAGTGGCATGGGAGATGATTTCGAGGTGGGAGTCGATTGAGCCGCCGGTTCATCGCTGCCCTATTCCAGAGCCGCTGGTGAAAGCGATGGTGTACCTGGCCACTCAGTGGAACATGCAACGGTGGGCGGCCACCACCCTCCTAGCCTTTTATGGCTTAGCGAGGATTGGGGAAGTCCTCAAGTGCCGGCGCCGAGACTTGCTGTTGCCGAGTGATCTTCTGGATGATGAGCTTTTCGCGATATACTTAAATTTTCGCGAATCCAAGACAGCCACTCGTGGTCGACCCAAGGTGCAACACACTCGTGTGGTGGATGCACTTGCAGTTTCGGCGATCAGCCGCGCATTCGTGCACCTAGCAGCTGAGGATTTGCTTTGGCCTTCCTCTCCGGCAGCCTATCGTTACAGATGGGATTTTCTGCTGAAGCAGTTGGATGTGCCTCGTGGACTGGCTCTCACTCCTGGCGGCCTCCGTGGGGGGGGCGCGGTGCATCGCTACAGACTGGGAGTCGCCCCCAGTGAGCTGCAATGGGCGATGCGGCTCAAGCACGTCTCCACCCTCGAGCACTACTTGCAGGAGCTCGCCGCTGTCACCGCCCTCACGGACGTTTCGGACTCTGGCCGCATTCGAATCAAAACTGCGGCCAAGCTGTTCGAGTTGACGGCCTCGAGCCCGCCTGGTGGCTTTTAACTGCGTTGCGTGCCGGGACAATGGCCTAGGATGCTTTATCCTTTTTCTGCTGCTCGTCAGCTGCCTGTCTGCACCTGGCTGGCCCCGCTATGGGTGGTAAGGAAGCTCTTCTTTCGCTGGCTCCGGAGCCTCGTTTCCACTGATGTGGCATCCGATGCTTCCAGCACCTAGCTTCGACACACCTTCACAGCAGCGGCGGCCTGGAAAAGTTTCCGCGACGCCTTTGGAGGGTAAGCCCCTAACATGCCGACACATGTTTTGGGCAAACGACCATCTCTAGTTTTCGGCCCACCCTCCCGCCCCTTCGGCAGAGCCGGCTGGGGTAAGGAAGCTCTTCTTTCGCTGGCTCCGGAGCCTCGTTTCCACTGATGTGGCATCCGATGCTTCCAGCACCTAGCTTCGACACACCTTCACAGCAGCGGCGGCCTGGAAAAGTTTCCGCGACGCCTTTGGAGGGTAAGCCCCTAACATGTACATGCTTGGGCGGCGCTGTTGAGGGTGGCATTGGACGACGAGGCCCTCAATGCAGACGACCGGCAGGCCATTGAACAGCATCGTGCAGTGTCGACAGATCCGCTCATCATGTCCGGCATCGTGTATGTCTGCAAAGTCCGCAAGGCTTTTGACAGAGACAGCATGAAGATGTTTTTCTCGGTGCATCGAGATGCAAAGCCATCCTTCGCGGCCTTGACGAAGGGAGTGATCCATGCCGGCGGGAAACTCAAGCGAGGAAAGGCCCAAAAATTGAAAAAGATGTTTAAGAAGTGGTAGATCACTTGACTGAGATCTTGGGGAGCAAATGAGCCGTTCAACCGAGGGCAGTCCGTAGAGGTAGCTCCTTTTTCTGTGCCACTGACGGCAAGTTTGAGTGATGGCTCACTCGACTGTAGCTTGCTCGTCTGGTGAGTTGTCATGTTCAACCGTTCCTATGTCGCAGCCTGCGGTGGGGCCGCGGGTTAGTCCTAGAGACAGATGCGGCGCAACCTTTGTGCTGCTTGCTCAAACTCGTCCGATGGCCGTGAGAAAAAAAAGAAAAATGTATGTTCATATACGCATGTATCCATATTTATGTAAATCTGTATGTGCGCATGCATGTATGTAAGTATGTATGTATGTATGGATGCATGTATGTTTATTCCCTATGCATGTGTATGTATGTACGATTATTGAACTTCGCTTGTTTGTATATGTTTGCGTGTGCACGTGTCGGAGGCCAGTGTGGGTGGAGACACCTTCACTACACTATTGTTTGACATCCGACGCTCTAGCATCGTCGCATCGACCGTCAGTCTTCAGGATGAGTGAGCCATCAATGGCCCGCGAGTGGAATTTGTCTCAGGATGATTTTGTAGCAGAGGTGCCAGAAATTCATGTTGGACGCGCATCATATCCGTAAAGTGCGGGCGCCTGTGACCATGTCATGAGCGCTACTAGCAGCCAAAGAATGCGATATCCAGCTCGAAACTAGAGCAGAAATGCAACAGTCAACGGTTGCAACATGTTGCAACATGCGGGCGTTCGGGCAAGGCACGACGCAAGCGAACTGTCCTGCTGCACACAGGGCGATGAACACGTGCTTCCCAGGTCGGCAGGAGGGCGCGAGCAGCGCTGGGCATTCTGAGCTTCATGGCATGCTTTCTTCCACTCACCTGGCTCCCTGGCGCATGCTTGGTCTTGCCCGAATTTCTCGGTGCTGATGGTGTTTGGTGTTCGTGTCACGCAAGGTTCGAGACAGGATTTCCGGCAACAACGTTAACAGGGATCCCCTCAGATGAGCTGGCAGTGATCGTGTCTGCCAGTGCCGCCGCGCAGGCAGCATTTAGCCCGGCACCCGGAGTAAAAGAAGTGTGTCATCATAGAAGCTGAGCTGCGCTCTTCCCGTCGCTCCAGGTTTCCTTATTGCCGAGAAATTTTTCGCCGATGCTGAGCGCAGGGTCGCAGCACAGTCTCGACAAGCAGCCCTTTCCGAACTATTCTTCGCACAGGTCGCATGAGGGCTGTAAGAGTGCAAGCAGCAAGCAGTCAGTGAGCCCGCAGCAAGCGAGATGTGTTTGTTAGTTCGGAGGCCCAAGCAGACTCGGCTATCCTGGGCGCAAACAGTGCCATTAGTGCGACGAGCCTTGGCTTTGCATCCACAGCGGCTGAATTTTCCAGAGCATCATCGGCCCTGTCGCTATGGCCAGCAGTGCCCCAATGCAACCAGTGTAGCAGTGTAGCATGGTGCTATTTCATTTTGTGAAGCCCCCAAACCCAAGCACCATGAGTTCTCATCTGTCTCAGGTTCTCAGCACTGTCCGTTCGACTGCAAGTTCCTTGACGTCTCGGGCTGAAGCAGATGCCGCGTGGCTTGAAAATCAGGCTTCGCAGCGAATCTTCGCGGGAGCATCGGTTAGCATGGATGGAGCAGACACCGTGTCTGCAACAGTGCGTGAGTTCCGGCAGCTGCAACGGGATTTCTCACTGGATGACTTCACAGAGACTGTGCGTGCCGAGCTTCGAAGTCTCGATCCCAATTGCATGAAGGACTTTCGAGGCCTCGCTGCCGAGCAGCGGCGAAAAGTGCATTTAGTGGCAGCCGAGCTTGGAATGCTTTCGCAGTCCTACGGGCTGTCTAGGCCAGGAACTCGGTCTCGCAGCGTCCGGGTGACCAACATCTTATCCAGTCGAGGAGCGCTCGCAGACAATGCTCCGTCTGATGACGGATTTCTCAGCGACCTGACGGCAATTTTGCGGGATCTGAAAGCCGAAGCATTGCAGATCGAGAGAAGTCTGAGACAACGAGGGCAAACACAGAATGCCCTGGCTGCTGCGCTTGTTGCTCTGAGCACGGCCTCACCATGGTTATTGGGAAGCAGTGGAGCTGAATTGTACCTGCCGTTGGCCACTGGGACTGTTGGGCTCTGCACGGCTTGGCAAGAAACTGCAGGGAAGGGCGCGGTTGCAACTGCGAAAAGGCAGAGCGCCTTTCTGTTGACTCGGGAGGCTCGGGCCGAGCTTTTCTTTGGTCGAGCGCAACTTGCGTATGCACCTTTCCCCACCGACTTGGCCATCGCAACCCTGGCAACAACGGCTTCGGTGTTGTCAGTAGAGTTCGCTGGCAATATCTTGAGACTTACGGCATTGTCGATGGTCATTCCGGCAATGGCAGCATGCTCCATAGCAATGCATCGGCGGCACAAGGTGGAGAGATTTGCAGCTGCCAGTATGAGGTGCGTGGATGCCAAGCCGATGCGGTCCCGTCGCTCGTTCTGGAAACGGCCACTGTGACTGTTCAAGCAGCCGCACTTCATTTTGTTGTTGCACATGTTCGCATCATAGGGCTGCCGAGAAATATTATAGATCCTAGGTTGGAATGAACACACCCTCGGATGTGATGCTGAATCTTACTTGTAGAAAGACATGGGGGATCCTTGGGCGACTTTGCTGTGATATACTGCCGAACACTTTGCCCTTGCGTGAGAAGCACGGAACTCAATTCCAAAACGAGAGCCCTTCTGAGAGAAAAAGACCACGTGGAGAAAGGGGCGTGATTGACCCGATAGATACCCACATGCTAAGCGACCTGCCGAGAAAGCTTCGATCGTGCACAACCCTGCCCCCCCCCCCCCCCCCCAAAGCAACGTTGGAATGATGTGTGCGGTGGCAAAGCCTTGGTGCGCCTGCTCAGGAGATGGTGGCTTTTGCCTACAGCTTGTGCTTTGTTTTTCCCTTGCGATACCGCTGGCAGTGTGACAATTGCTTGTGCCATACTGTCGGGGGAGATTGCGTTAGCAATGGCCGAGAGCTTGTCCTACCTGGCCGATGCAGAAGGCTCGGAGTTTCGGCTATGAGCTGGGACGGGGCATGACGAGACCCACGGCCCACAGCATTGCGGCAGGCAGCATCGCCAGGGCCAGCCGTGCGGTGGCTACCGCCGAAGCCTGGTCGCAGCTTGCCCAGTTCTCGGTCCGGGCGCTGCCGGCACGCACCTCTGTGGCCGTGGCAGCTGAGCTCAGGGGGATTTTGGGCCTGCTTCACGACAACTCACCACGACAGAGTGCCAATCTGTTTTTGACACCGAGGTTGCGACGCTGGTTGCAACTGCATTGGTCGAATTCTCTTTGCCTCTGCAGCTTGCCAATGGAAGTCAGATTACTCTTTGTTGGCGATTTGTGTCCATGATCTTTTCGTTTGCGGTCTTCGACGTTTGTCGGATCAGTGATTCTGCTGTCTGTCTCTCCCGACGACCAGCACTGCAAGCTCTCATGTGCAGCAGGAAGCATGCAGGATTTCACCTGCCGCTGAGAAGCTCGGACCCACCACCTCTTGAGAATTAGAGTCGTCACGAAAGTCATTTGTTACTGGGTGCTGTCTCTCTAGTACTAGCATCTGCTGCAAACGACGGCGCGTGTCGAGTTGCACTGTATTACCCGACATGGCTCCAGTGTAGAATGTCGCGGCTGCCTCCCGTGTTTGGGAGTGTATGGGTCGACGTGGCGTCAACCTCCGCCATGCCTAGGTGTGCGTTATTTCCTGCGCTGGGTGCTGTAGTTCTTGTACGCTCCGTTCAATTGAACAGGCTCAGCTGATGGCAGGTTCATGTAGTATTGCACAGCACAAGTACAACGAGTGAGCTGTTGTAGGGTTATCACGGATCATGCAGGCAAGCCCAAACGGCTGCGGAGAAGTTGGAGCAGGACAAGGGGAAGCAGCCATCGGGCACGGACACGAGGAAGACCTTAGCCTCTGAGATTGGTGATGGTGTTCAAGTCTGGAGACGATGTGGATAAAGCGAAAGCAGAAGCTGGACCAAGGAATCGTCGAAAAGAGGACATCTAACCTGACCAAACGTAAGGGCTTGCCTCGCTATGTTAGCTTCTTCGTTTATCAACCGATCGCTTCCGAGACTGTCACAGCGTGTATGTTGAGAGTTCCCCCTGAGCTCATTTAGTTTGATGCGTTCAGTTATCGCGATTTTCCTTTGCGGCATTCGAAACATCGGACGGTTGAAATGCGATGCGGTGCGTACGTGTCCGCCCTATGCTGATGAAGCTGGACAGTTTTCGCTTCCTGCTCGAACTGTGTTCAGTTATTCTCAAGCGTTTGTTGGCTTGGCCTCCTGATGCCGGCGCTCTTTCACGTCCGATGCAACTGTTTGAATCAGGCAACCTTTGTTTGCCAGTACTTTTATTCACTCTGCTCTGCCCCGCTCCAGCCGACAGTGCAAGTAAGGCAGGCTTAGGTTGGTGAATCTTGGTATTCTGATGGAGGGTGATGGAGGAACGATGGGTGGAAAGCGGCTTTTGTAGATTGATGCTGGGAGTTTATCGAGCACAGCAGGCCCTTTTACCTGTGGCAGGAGTTCATGGACATGCAGAAGCTGATGAAGGTTGCGGGCCGGTCGAAGCCCGGAGGAATGTGAACTTGTACCGCTTGTCACGAGGCAGAGCCATGGGCGAGACTGCGACGTCTCTCGGGCCAAAGCAGCCGCATTATCTTGAAAGAGTTGCCGGCGTCCAGGCATCAATTTGCAGGAAAGCGGGTTTTCCATCAAAACACGCCTGCCATGCCGCCGGCACCGGAAGGTGGACGCTCGATCCTTGCAGCATCTGGACTGGCATCAACTTGAACAATAAAATCCGGCGAGGCTTCATCAGGCGAGCCGAAAACAGCCTTCGCTAGCTTTGCGCAGCGTATTAGATGTGCAATTGTTTGGTCGTCTCAGCCACAATGACCGGTGACAGAACGATGGGAACAGAGTGTCAAGGAGATTGTCTGCACCTCCCGCCCACATTCATGTCTTACATCGTCTGACGTGACGAAAACATGACAATCGAAAGGTTTGATAGATGGCAGAACAGGCGACAAAAGTTCGAAAAATTTGGCCACCATTCCAAAACCAGAAGGGCGTCGGCTGCCAAAAGATGATGTCACATCGCTTTGATAAGCGCCAGGCTGAAAAATCTTTGGGAAGATCGAGGGCCGGCTGAGGCTTACAAGCAAGCACCGGCCGAGCAGGCAGCGCATGGCAGCGCTTTGCAAAGTCGCTTCTGACTCTCTGACTCCTGGCTTTGGACGTGATGCTCAGGCGGTCCAGAGTGTCCAGCGCAACCTCCAAGAGTTTCGCACATTAACGAGGCCGTGGCCTTCTGGACACTGTCCGTGCAAGACCGAAGCATGGTGCCAAGGTTCAACTCCAGGACTTGGTTTCGCACCCTGTCCGTTGTGGGCCTTGTTGCCGTGGCTTCGGTGCTGCAGCCGTGGTTTCTGTTCTCCAGCAGTGAGGCGTTCCTCCCGGTTTCCAGGGCGCTGCTATTCTTTGCGGTCCATTTTGTCTCCGCTTTGCTTTGCGAGACAGGTTGTGTTGCCAGTGTCTGGTGCTCTCTTGACTATATTCGTTGCGGCCACAGCCCCAGAATGCACCTGCACACTTGTAGACCGTGTGTGGGAGTGTTGTGGAGTCTCTGCCAGCCCAGATCGCAGCAGTTTGATGCTTTTGCCTGACTCGCCGCTGTTGGAGCCTTGCCAAGGCTTCCGAAAGTGAGGCTCGTCGAAGTGTATCTGCTGCTAAAGCAGCCCGGAATCGACGTCCGTGTATTTGATCATGGATATGAAGTTTCTTGTTCCATTTCGGCTCCCCAGGTAAAGGCAGCAGACATCAAGGCTGCCACCAGCATCCTGGAGGACATATTGTTAACGTTGCCGCTAGGTCCAGGTGGTTGTAGACATGGCTTTGTATCAGGAGCTGTCAGCATCCGCCATGCAGTTTCGATCGCGACTGATCGCTTGGGCTGGAGTCACCGCTGCGACCTGTGCAACCTGGTGGAAGTTACATTCCTGAGATCTTCAGAGGCTGCAAATGGGTTGACAGTGGACCACAGGCACGATTCGACCTGCCAAGGTTTTGTCGGTCATCTCCGTCAAGCACTGGCCTCTTGCAGCCAGGCCGTGGCAGATCTATGCAGTAAAAAAGGCTATAGATTCGTCACACAGAAGTGCCTGCAGGTTGCCATGGCTTGGAATCGCTCAGCATTGCTGGAGGCTCCTCTTGGTGAGCACACATATAGCCGGTGCCTTACAGTCGGGCATGTTGCGCTGCTCCGCTGCCCTACTAGATGCATCAAGATGTGTTGACAGGGTGCTGCTATTGCCAGCGTCTTGCCTGCCAAAGCCTGGAACTTAGCGCTGACAGGGTGGCAGCAAAATGGGTGACCTGCGAGTTCGAGATAACACCGTCTGTCGACAGGGCTTGTGCCGCCGTACTGCCGTACACACTTTGCGACCTTTCCTTTGCAGACCTGTTACAGGGTTGGGCAGGCCCTGTTGAGAAGTCCCAGGCTTTACCTTCAATTGCTTCCTAGCCATGCGAGAGGGAAGCAATAGGCCTTTGCAGAGCCCGGGGCACGGTGCCGGGCGATCAGCACCCTAGCACAGTTCTGTCGCAACTCTGGGGTTCTCGTAGTCGACATGTAGCACATGTCATCGTTGCACCGTGCATATGACATGCCTTCATTCGTTGCCGTTGCCATCCCACCCGCACGTCGCATGGGAACTGGTGACCATGTGGAGGCTGTCTGGCTTTGGACATCGCAAGTGAAGCGGGAGCTGCCGGCCGCCAGGCAGAGAAGCGTTTCTGATCCCGGTCCGCACGGTGCAAGCGTTAAGCGTGCAATTCGCCAGGTCGATGCTTTCACCGTTGCAGCCTGGAGCACTGTCACGCGGCCAGCTTCCAAAGGGGAGCCGCCAGCCCGGCGGTTTCCAGCACAGAGGACGTTTCCTTTCGTGTCGTTGCGTCGTCGGTTTGGAACTTTCACGACCTTCGTCGTCAACAGAACGTGGCTTTCATCGTGCTTCCTTTTTCCTGGCTTTGAGCCCTCATGCCTTGCAAAGCATCCGACTCGTACCTCGTTCTTATTGAATCGACCGACACCCACTGTTGAGAACTGTTGAACTTTTAAAGCACGGAAGAGGGACTCATAGCTGCAACTGGCAGATGATCCGCAAGGATGGTGTTTGTTCAAGGATTTTACAGGCTTACAGGATATCCGTGTCATGCAAAAACAAGCTTGCCGTGGGACGTCTTCTGAAGCCAGGGTGGTTTGACCTGCTGTGCGGCACATGGACGTTGGGGTCTTGGATGCCTTGAGTGCAGCACCAGACAGTTTGTGTCCAATTGGGGGCGAATGGCGAGTACGAACTTGATTGAACTTGATGTAGCCGCTCCAATCGCTCCCCAGTTCAGGTGGCAGCTTTTTGCAGCACTCCCTGGTATTACTTTGGCATTTTACCCTTCTTGCAGGATCTGCCGCGTGTGTGGGTGTGCGTATGGGTGTGTGGGTGCGTGTGTGTGTGTGGTTCCTCTCCAGTGTAGAACTATGAAGCTTCAGGAGCTTTGAGGAGAGGACGGTGGCATCAACAGCTGCCAGCAGCTTCGTAGCACGAGCCTCAGAGGAGGCTTAAGATGTGATTTTGCAGCGGTTTGTGCCCTGATTTCTGAATTTGGGAGTCAGGTGGCTACCATGCTGTGTTTGGCCGAACGAGCACTCTACCGAGCGGACTGGGTTTGAGAAGCAGATCACCCCAGCCTTTCGCAAAGCCTTAATGTTCGCAAGTGCCAGGAGCTTTTCATAGCGGGGAGGCGAATAACCTTTGCCCTGACAGATACTTTGGCAAACGAGGCGCCGACGGGCGCCGTTTGCACGAACCGAGCAGTAGCTTCAAAAGTTCCCTGCGTGCCACTTCCAAAGGCCGAACAACAAAGCGCCCTGCTGCCGGTGGCCACTGCCAGATTCTCGGTATTCTCTCACTCCAGGTGTGGTGCTTGACAACTTACTAGCACCGGAAAGCGCATCCAAGTTTCGTGAAGAATTTGGCCAAGTGTTTCATGTTTTTTTTGCTTCGGGCATGCTGGCCGGCCTACCTCAACAACATGGAGGAGCTGCTGTAAGCAACTGTGCTTCCACGTTCTGGCGCCAGTTCGCTAGTGCCGCTAGTGGCTAGAAGGAAGGAAGGAAGCCTCTTTGCCTTAAGTGGGCGTTGCATCCGGGGGGTGTCGCGAGCTTTCAGGGCTTTGCCAATTTGAGACCACCGCAACATGCAGCAACACTGCCGTACAGCAGCTGCCTTGAAAAACTCGAACAAAATCTGTTGCGCACACTCCAGTCCAGACAATCGAACATTGCACCGCCAGCGAGCATCGACAGAGATCGAAACTAGCCGGCGTCAGGGTACAAGAATGCTCACCTCGTTGGGCGCAGGATTGGTCAACGCTGTATCATTCCATAAACATTCCGTATACACTTTAGACATGAAAGACACCTCGTTGCACTGACCAGAAACGGTATTGGACCGCAAAGCATCGTAAAATGCGAACACAGTAGCCACAGTCAAACTTAGCCCAAGAACTTCGAGTGCTTTCTGGACGAGCTCTTCAACATTGACATGTGATAGTGCAGACGAAGAATCGGGTGATCTGATGCAAACAAGTATGCACGAATACAGCATTGGCATAGCGTGAACACTCCGGAACTAACGAGGCAGCCACGATAGCCGTGTCTGCTGCGGTGACATTTGGTGTCGAGCTGAACCCCTTTGCCGCTTCTGCATTGGCCCTCGTGCAGGTGGCATTAGACAACACGTCTCCTCAAGCAGATGTTGTAGCCGCCAGGCGATCACTTGGGTGCTGGCATCCCGCAAAGCATTGGAAGCCAAGTTCGGAAGCGACGCCGCAGTGCAGGCGCAGTGCACCGCGCGAGCTGACGGCAGCCGGTCACGAGTCAGAGTTTGTGTCGCTTGGAGGTGGCCACGGTCACCGAGGGCCGACTCTTAGCTCGGCCGGGCCGGCTTCCCGACCTACGGACCGTTGCTTTGCTCCAAATCTGGAAGATTTCATCCACAGCGACAGACGCTGCAAAGGGTTAATTGTGCCGGTATTATGCCCAGGAAACTTCGCGGCGGAAAATCGGCCAGTGGCGAAGCTTTGTGAGCATGCTGGCATAAGGATTCACTCCCTGCTTGTTTGGTACAAATGCTGCGACTGGCGCTCCGGCTGCCAGTGCCCGACAGGATGTGCAGGGTGCATCGGTGCATCAGCCACTTTCACAATTCCAGGGTCTCGTGGTCCTGCGCGCAACTCAGATTGAGACGCCTCCGTTAGATTCTGTTGCTCTTGCTGGCATGCACGGTGCGACTACTCTTGGAGGATGGCTTCATGCATGCAGGTGGAACATCATGGCAAAACTGCGTCTTGGAAGAGTGGACGCCCTCCGCCGCAGCGAAGACTCCACACCGGTCAGATGCTCAGCACCGACATGAGCCGTCTGGGCCGGAAGTCAGAACTATATGAATAAATCATTTTGCTCCGGCAGTCTGACCTGCATCGTGCACCATGCCTTCAGTCTTTCACAGGTGAACGATGTCGTCATGAAGAAAGCATGGCTGCAAGAATAACAAGGCTACGGTGGCTACTCAGTGAATAGAAGCTGAAGCTCAAAGCTGATACTCTCAGCGTGAACTTCGCAAGATGTGATGTGGCCGGGAGCAACTGCAACATGCTTCATGATTTGGCGCGATTTTCCTCCACGGTGAAGTGGCGACAAGCAGGAATCGACCCGAAGAGACATGTCCAGCAGTGCATCGAGTGAAAAAAGTGCTCTGTGCATGGAAGCAAGAGGGGCAGCAGGCCCACTGAACATTGTTCGTTTGCGGCTAGCGGCTAGCAAGTCACTACATGTACCACGTGTTCTTTTCGAGTTTGCTTGTCTCCCTTCTTCTCTTTCTTTTCCTTCGTGACACCTCTCGCCTAAAGCAAACCGGCTAAGATTTAAAGAGGCCTGGAAGTCCTGTCCCGGCCAAAGCCCGGCCGTTTCCCCCCGCCCCACCAAGTTTGTGCCAGGTGGTTTCGTTCTGCAGTTCTTCTAGGTTTTGTGTTCAGCTCTTCGAGGCTTCCTCAAGCGAGTGAGGGTTGGACAGTTACACGTTATAGGCCTAGACTCAGGTAAAGAGGAAAGTCTCTCACGCGATGGCCCTTCGACCCCCTCTGCACAACACGGGCGGCCTTACCGGACAGCTTGGGACATGTGTTCCAGTACTTCCGTGTGATCCGTCCGCCGTGCAGATCGAAGTGATCTGATCTGTCTGCATGCCAAAATTCTGTCACGTTACTGTGTTGCTCAGGATATGCAAACACAACCACCTTAGATCACATTCGCCAATAACTGTTCAATCGTGGTGTAAGAGCAAAGGCAGCAACGGTACACTGCGGGAGCTGTGTCAGCCCACTTCCTGGAAGCTGCCTTGAGTACGAGTGCTGCATCATTACAGCATGTCATAACATGACAACAAGCAGCGAACAGTAAGGACATGTAGTGTATTTCCAGTCAAACCACGACGCGTGCAGCAAAGCACTGGCCTAGCAATAAGGGTGCACTTGCGCTTGCGTGGCGAATCAAACCAAAGACTGCAGAGCTGTTTGCTGAATTGCCACTGGCAGTCAACCAACCCTAGCTAGCGATCAAAAGCAAGCACGAGAACATGGTGGGCACCAGTTCGGACAGCCCGAGTGTGAGCTTGAATCACTTGTCGTTGACTTGTATCAGTGGGATCAAAGCCGTCTGTGATTTAAATTTTTGTAAAGTCCACATAAGTGGACCAACGAAGACACACTCTTGTAACATCTTACGGGATTACGAGGGTGTAAGTAAGTCCTTTGGCCTGGCACTGCGGCACTTGTCCCCGCGACGACGGCGACAAAAGCCAACTACCTGGTAATGTAACCCCCCGGAGGTGTGGTGTTGGTTTTGCAACCGGCCGGTTGCGGTGTTTGCCGTTGCGACGGTTTTGACCGTGTTGTTGAGTTTACGAACCAGGAGGCAAGAGCCAGAAGCTACATGTACTCTGCATGCGAATCAAGCTTGGCTTTTCCTCTGACTGTATGTTTGGACCGTACGGCTCTTGGAAATCTGCAATCACAAGACAAGGGAGCTGCGTCGTGGCCAGCAAATTCCACTGTCACGTGCAGCCAACATCCGGGCATTCAATTGACATAAAGGACCGTCGGCGGGTTTGACAGCATATGCAAACAACTAGAATAGACCTCTGCAAGGCTCGGATCTAGGCAGCATATGGTATGGGCTGCTCGGCAAGTCGTGCAGGGGCCAAGGTACGCTGGAGTAGTCAGGTCTCGTGTACGAACCTTGCGGTTGACTGGCCGAGAGGTACATCCATCTGCCGTTGTGGTTCCTTCAGACACCGCGTCAGAGACTTGCGCTTGTATCGCAGTTGTGGATCGGACCGTGGCTGCACCACTAAGATCCGCTAAGTCTGGACGCTCTCTGAACATGCACCAAGTGCACCATCACCATTGCCGTCATCGGGTTCTGCGCGGCCAGATGCGACAATCACTGCACCGCTTGAGGTCGAAATGCTCAATATGTTTATTGTTCGTCAGTCGGGTGCTTGCAAGCTGGATATGCATGTGGCTAGGTCGGAGCACTGAGCAACCCAGAGCCCACAATCAGGCCATCTCCAGTGCCGGTCCAGTGCAAGTATCGCAGGGGTTCGAACAAGAGGCCCGAGCCTGCCGGTGGAAATGTCGAGATTGCCCATCAGGCATTGTCAACTTCCGTACAGTCGAGCAGCCTTCCCGGTCTCGAACACGGGCTCTTCAGGCCATCCCAAGAGCAAAGCCCAAGGCAAAGCCCATGACATTGATCAAGGCTCACAGCACATCGTCGGTTGAGTGGTACACGTGCGTGGGAGGCAGTTATGGGAGGCCTACGGTCGTGATGCTGAGGCCATAAAAGCAAACGACTTGCTGTCACTGGACGACCTCCTACAGTCACCAGAATGCAATTTGGAGGCACGGCTCCCGCAGGAAGGAGATATCATGGACTCATGAGACTCGGACAGGTTCTTGGAATGTGGGACAATACTCCCTTGCTCGCGGCTTGCATGTATGGGCATTCCGAGGCAGATCCTGTTGATCTTGCAATATGACGGAACCGGCTGTGAGTCATAACCTTGTCCCATGAAAGGCTGCTCTCCAACTCATCGCTCATGGGGCCGACATCTTCGCCAGGCGTCGTGATGCTTGGATGGTAGCTATCCAATTGACGCACAGCCGTTCAGGAACGAACACGGTGCAACGCCACTGCTCTATGCCTCGGTCGAGGGCAGCGTTGAGGTGGCCGGCGCTTTGATTCAGGCCGGTTGTCGGACCATGCTTGCTGGTCATTCCCGATGGCACTTCGCTCGGCGCTCTCTACTACTACCACCGCGACCTGACCCCTACTAGTGCGACCATTAGAGTAAGTTACGACGACGACCACTACCTTTACTCCTACTCCTACCCTCATCAACGGCTTTCCTTCCTTCCCCATTCTTTCATTGGTTCATTCATTCGGACACTCGTGCGGGTCGTCCCGCACCTTGGCGGGGATCGGAGAAAGAAGGCGAAAGGAATCGGCAAGTGGCAATCTCTGCAGGAGGAGAGCTTTCCAAGAGGCAGCACATACTTCTGCAACTGGCTTGCGCATGCGGTCCCGTGAGAGCTGCGCATGCACACAGTAGCAACTCCGTGGAGTCAGCACCACAGTCTAGCCTTGGCGGTGCGTTTTGGATCGTTTTGGCAGGCAGGCAGAGCTTTTGTTGTCGGTTTATGCAAGAACGGATACGTTTTTTTTGTGCTCCTGCAGTTTGCACAGCTAATTGATTTGCAGGAAAGGCTTGGGAGTGCAGCGCTAAGACATTAACACTACCCAGATCGGTGAGGCTAATCCTGCTCCGGACTTAGATGCTCAAGATGCTAGCAGCTGCTAGCATGTCAGATGCAAACTTAGTTTACAACCCGTGGTTTCAAAAAGGTTTGTCTACTCTGTATGTAGCCCAAGTCGTGCTTGGATGATCTTGGATGGTGGTAGCGCTGCACAGGAGGAAGATCTAACGCTCGGAAGGCATGAGTAGTGCTCGTCTGGCTGTGGCATGATAGCTCATGAGGACTTGCCGCATGTCGTCCAAAACCACGCGTCAGACGCAGCTTCTGCCCCTTGAAGCTCCAGCTCGACAAGCTCCTGGAGAGGACTCGTCTGGCTGCTCACGCAGGTTTTGGACTCAGTGACAAAGCGCGGATCCTCAAGGCCCTCGTTTTCCCAGCTTTGTTTTGGGCGGCAGGTGTGGCGTTGCCGGACTCCGGCATACTCACATGGATTGCTAGCTCTGTCAGGTTTGCCTTCCAGAAAAACCTCACACAAGAAGCCCCAAGGGTTTTAGTCGGTCAGATTTTACGTTGGGAACTGGATGTTCATTGGCTCGCCGACTGGTCGGCGCTCCGTCACTGAGGACTCGGAAGAATTGACGCTGGAGCAGCTTCGCGCGGCTCGGAATAACGGCATCCCTGCCGCCAATCACATGACCGGAGCCTTAGCCAAATTGACGATGCTGGACGCGTTCGTACTTATCGAATGGGTGTGGAGTCCACACCGCGAAGGTCCTGCACCGATGGCTCAGTGAGAGACACGAGATGCAAGCGACGGTCCAATGCGGACGTGTCGCGCGGTCACTCCATAGGAACGACCCTGACCTAGCGGTTGGTGTAGCCCTGCCCGCGCCACCACCCGGCATTAGGTACGGTTTGGTAGGTCACCAGCAGATCTACAAGAAGGCGGTGAGCGCTTCAGAGCGTCAGGCTGCCTTAGCGACGGCTTGCAGCTCGTGGTTCTTTGCAAAGCGACTCGACTTGCAAGGAGACGTGCTGTGCATGTGCGGCCTGAAGTGGCCCAGTCGGACACATATTCGCTGGACGTGTCCGGCCCTCAGCGCTGACCAACCGGCCATCCCGACGCCAAGTGTGGTGCCCCACTGCACGAGTTTCCTCCACCACCCACAGTGACACCGAGCTGCTCTCCGTCCTTGAAGGTTTTGCTCGAGACGGCAGTCGAGAAGTCTCCGCATCAATTGCTCGTGGCAACAGATGGGAGCTCGCAGACAGAAGTGGGATCTTACGCCATCATTTCCGAGGACCCACCTTTCGAGTACACCAATGCGGATGAGAGCGAAGATCAATCGCCCTTTCGCATGGAGCTGCTCGGCTTGGTGGATCTACTCACCAGTGTAGCTGCTTTGAGCCACCTTTTCCAGCAGCTTGTGGTTCTGGTTGACTGTGAATCGGCCCTCAGTGCCGCCTGGCACATGCAAGTTACGCTTACTTGCCCTGCAAGGCCTGGACGTGGCACTGGCAGCCACCTTTTCAGCTTGACGCAGCACTCAAAAAGCGACTCAACGAGCGCGCTGACAATGATGCAAGGAGGCACTGTGCAGCTCGCTGCATCAGTGCCGATCGGCAGCAGTGGGATCTGGAGCTCACGAACGCGAAGGCCCTTGAAGACCAGGGTAAGTTTTACGTCTTCGGCTGGACGAAAGCTGGAGGCTTATTTGACGTGTACAGCACTGGCTGCCAGACAGCCAGTGATCACCACACGGGCTTGGCTTGAGCCTCCCCAGTGAGAACCGCATGAGCCGGGACTTCTCTCGCTCATGACGCTTGCCACAGAGAAAAAAGACGCAGCTTCTGCACATTGAGAGCGCGCTGGCAGCTGAAGGTGCCAACCCGCATGAATGTAGATGAAGTCCTATTATGTTACCAGGGGGATAGTCAGAGCAGCTGCATAACAGAATATAATATAATGAAATATAACATAATAATATAATATAATATAATATAAGATAAGATAATATAAGATAATATAATATAACATAAGATAATATAATATAATACAATATAATATAAGATAATATAATATAATATAGTAAAATATAATATAATATAATATAATATAATATAATATAATA